TGGGACTTAGTTATTTTGGATAATGTAGAGATACATAATTCTGAGACACGTTGAAACCATTAAAGAAAGAAAATTTTGGAGAAAATTGAAGTAGCTCATTTTTCTCCCTTTGCTGACCTTTTTCATGGTGTTATTTTAGAAACTCAAAGGTATGGTATGCATATCACTTGTTTGAATGTACATGTTAGGTACACATTCTACTCCCAGCAGTGAGCTGGCTTACTTGAAGTATAGCAGAAAAGACTTACTTATGCATACCTTCCCTTGGCTATGAGAAATTCTGTGGGAATAATTATGAATTTGGGTCATGCTTCAGAGATAGTTTGAAAAGAGGAGACTTGAAGGTTGGATAAAAACCAAAGTTTGACAACTTAGATGGCAGAACTAGGGTAGAAATTTTTTGAAATTCAACCTTAGAAGTGTTCAGACCAAGTGAGGCAGAGTAAATGTGGGCCTTAGCATGGATCTATTTATTCCTCCTATTAGGAAGTTATGGTTGGAAGGGAGAGGAAGCTAGATTTACATTGTAGTCTGAATAGTATACTTGCTTTATTCCTAAGAACTCCAAAATGAAGTTAATAGTTAAGAGTAAAAGTAAGACTATATAACTTTGAATATTAGGGAGAGTATTTGAGAAATTCTAGCTCAGTTACAGTTAATATGTGGATTAAATAAATATGGTCTAAATCTTCTTCTAATTCAAGTTTTTCTTTGTGGTCCCAAAAGAATTTTTAAAATGTGCATTTTATTCCTGATTATAAAGGTAGCGCATGTTTTTCAGAACAATTTGGAAAAGTTTAAGAAATATAAAAGAGAAAGTAGAAATCACTTTTGCTTCCAAAATGGGTATGACATATTTTTCCTAATTAGTCCAGGGTTGGTGGATGTTTAGGTAGTTCCCTGTTGTTTTTTACTGTTACAAGCAGTGCAGCTTCAACATCACTGTATGCATACTTTTGCTTACTTTGAAAAGGGAAAGGCAAGTTCCTCCAAAAATGTACCAGTTCATATTCTTGTCAACAAGGTTTTAACTCAAAACTTTGTAAACATTGATTAATACATTAACTCTTAAATTATTAATATCCTTTTGATATTCTACCAAAACTTCACAGGTGATTGTTTTTCTTGTTTTTATTTTTAATCACCTGAGAATGTTTTTTCATTGGCTTTTATTTATTTTTTAAAAATATGTTTTTTATTGATTTCAGAGAGGGAAAGGAAGAGGGAGAGAGAGATAGAAACATCAATGATAAATTTCATCAACCAGCTGCCTCCTGTATGCCCCCTACTGGCAATTGAGCCTGCAACTCAGGCTTGTGCCTTGACGGGGAGTCAAACCATGACCTCCTGGTTCATGGGTTCACGCTCAATCACTGAGCCACATCGGCTGGGCTTCCATTGATTTTTTATTTAGAGTGGAAAGGAGGAAGGAGAGAGAGAGAGAGAGAGAGAGAGAGAGAGAGAGAGAGAAAGAGAGAAAGAGGTGTGAGAGAGACACATGGATTGGTTGTCTCCCACATGTGCCCTGTGTGGGGTGGAGCATGCAGCTGAGGCACATGCTCTAGCCTGGGAATCAAACCCATGACCCTTCTGTCCTTGGGCTGCTGTTCTAACCACTGAACAAATTGTTAGGGCAGGGGATTGTTTCTTAAAGGTCAGTTGCAATGTAGAGTTAGAAACCATTTAAAAAAATTTTTTCCTGTTCTCATTCAGAACTACAATTTTCCTGTTTCCTGTTCATACTTTTAATAGATCAATTACTTGTGCATGATTTTGTAAATATATGCATTGGTGATTTGGAAAATACTGGTTCACTAAGTTATTTCAAATAATGACACATTTCATTACGAAATTTAAATTGTAATAGTATCATCACAGTTTTATCAGGAAGGGTTTGTTTGTTTCTTTAAGTATTGCAGAAGCTTTCAGGTTCATCCTGGCAGATATAAATTTTGCAAAATTCTAAGTTTTACTTGAAAGCGTGAACTTTATTGTTGGTATCAAATAGGAACAAGTATTTTAGGTTTTCTTAAATTAACAGACTCTGTTCATTTTCGAAATGCCTTTTATTTCGTTTTCTTTTGCTTCATTGCATTGTTGATAAGAGGTGAATGTGGACAGACATCCTTCTCTTGTTCCTAGTCTTTCACCTTCAGGTCTGATGTTAGCTGGGCGTTTTTTTAGATGCCTTTACCAGGTTGAGGACCTTCTATTCCAAATCTGCTTAGAGCTATGTCTGATGCTTTTTCAGCATCTATTAAGGTGATCTAATGCTTTTTCACATTTAATTTGTCATTATGGTGAGTGACATTGATGGATTTCTAAATAGTAACTTAAACTTGCTTTCCTGGGTTGAATCATCCTTGATCAGGCATCTTGTTCACACATAATCTGTAATGTCTAACTGAGTCCCGAAAAGATATAGCAGATGCTCAAAAAGCATTTGTTGAATTGATTAAGACAAATTTCTTAAGTGGTTTTCCATTTTTGAAAACCTTTGAAACACTTGAAAAAAGTTAGTCAATGAATAAACCAAAATATGTTGCTACCTTATTCAGTGATCATTACACAACAACTTTAACTATAGAAATATAGTTGGTGACTCAGGAGGAAGTAGAAAATCCTTTGACAGTCCTTCCATTGAAGAACTTCAGACCTGTTTATTTTTATATTCTAAATATAGTTCTAACAAGCTTGATGATCTGGTTTCCTTGCACCCAGATCAGAAGCAACAAACTAAAGGGTGGAAATGAGTTATTAGAGATTGCTAAAATTAAAAAATTCCCATGGTATAGAGGGGAAAATGTCATTGTAGAAATAATTTTAAAAGCTTAGTAGCTGAGGGCTGTTGATAAGTCTTAATTGCCGCTCTAGGCTCTTAATGTATATAGCTTTGTAAAAGCAGTATTTCAGAGTTGGAATAAACTTTAGTGAGCCTCTCATCCACTTTTATACATGTGAGGGGTTGGTGACACACATATAAGAGTGGCTTTGGTAAGAGTGGTTCATACATACTACGGTAGTGATTCCCAGTGGCAGTTCTGTGTGTGTGTGTGTGTGTGTGTGTGTGTGTGAGAGAGAGAGAGAGAGAGAGAGAGAGAGAGAGAGAGAGAGAGAGAGAGAGATATGGGGGTGCTGACCTATACACATGGGCATGTATAGGAATTTCTATTTCTGGGGAGGAGGCCATGTATGCAATTTGAACTTGTCGCCTTCCCCTCATCCCTGCCCCGATTATATTATCTTACCTCCTTATCTTCAGATGTTCTGCTACCTCACTCAGATTCACATTTGAGAAACACTGGTCTTATCCAAACTAGTAATACTATAGATAAGCCAATGCAAGCCTCCTTGAGAGGTTAAATGGTTAATATGGGGATAAACTACGAAACTAGTCCTGGCTTCTAGTTGAATGTTTTCTGTTATGCCCCTGCAATAAATATTCACAATGATAGAGGAAACAGAGAATAAAGTTATGTTTCCCAAGCTCTTCACTTAAAAAAACAATGGGAAGGATTTATTCAAAAGGTTTTTTCCTTCTACAAAATCCTATACCACTTATAAGTAAAACTGAGACATTTAAGATGGGAGAAGTTCATTTCCTCATGATGAATAGATAACTGCAGTGTTAAGATAAATTGATCACCTATTTATATTTGTTACTTGGGAGTCTTATAGTTCTAAAAATAGAGATGATTTCTGTGCATTTAGACTTTATATTTGGAGTTTGATTCGTTTGTATTGTTGAATAATGAATTATTCAGTAACTGGTGGCATAGAACAGTAGATTTTATTATCTGCCAATTTCCAGGGGTCAGGAGTTCAGGCATGGCTTAGCTGGGTCCTCATTTGAGGGTCTTGCCTGGCTGAAATCAAGATGTACACCCAGACTGCAATCTTACCTGAGGCTCAGTCCTCTTCCTAGCTCACTGGCTATTCCCAGAATTCAGTTCTTCATGGCTGTGGGACCAAATCCTTCAGTTCCTAGAGCTTTCCCATCATTTTCTGGCATATGATTTTTCTCCACAACATGGTAGTTTGCTTCTTTAAGGTCAACAGGAAAGCTTTTCTGTACTTTGAATCTGAAGGTCAGGCCCACCAGAATACTTTTGATTAATTTAAAGTCCACTGATAGGGATATTAATTATAACACCTTTGCCATATAATATAACCTGATCACAAGTGAAATCTGGGAATTTTGCCCACACTTAGAGGGAGGAGATTGTGCAGGTTGTATACACCAGAGGATGGGACTCTTGGAGGCTTATCTTAGCATTATGCCTACCACAGTGTTATTAAAGCCAACAGTGACTCTTTTGTTCAGTGAAAATCAAATCTTTCCTAGGTGCCAAGCATTTCTCTAGGTCATGGAAATATAAGACTAAAATGCCCAGTTCCTGTCTTTGATGAGGTGGTAGAGACCAACAATGAAGCACTGTTTGTAATGTAGTTCAGTCATGCAGCTGCTGTAGAAGTGTAACCAGGCTACGCTCTAGCAAGAGAAGGCTGGGTCAGGAAAAGTTTATTGTATCCATGGGAAATGTAAAACTACTGCTGTAGTTCTTGAAACTGTCAGGGTGATAGCAGGTCAGCATGAAATGGGTAGATAAGTACAACATGAATAAGAATTCAGCTGCTCCTCCTGAAAATGGGGAACGTGATGGGAGCTTTGTGCCACACAAGTTATTAGCAGTGAAAGCAAAGTCAGAACAGGAAACGCAGCAGTGAGCTATTCCTAAGACTTGAGGTGGTAGAGACCAACAATGAAGCACTGTTTGTAATGTAGTTCAGTCATGCAGCTGCTGTAGAAGTGTAACCAGGCTACGCTCTAGCAAGAGAAGGCTGGGTCAGGAAAAGTTTATTGTATCCATGGGAAATGTAAAACTACTGCTGTAGTTCTTGAAACTGCAAAATTAATTTTTAAGTGAATTTTCTAGGAAGAAAAGTTCGATATTGAAGATGAGGAAATTATTAAAATCCTTTCTTCTTCTCCCCCCCAGATGGTATACCTCAAGTTTACTATTTTGGCCCTTGTGGTAAATACAACGCTATGGTGCTGGAACTGCTGGGACCTAGTTTGGAAGATTTGTTTGATTTGTGTGATAGAACATTTTCTCTTAAAACAGTTCTCATGATAGCTATCCAACTGGTAAGTAAAGCAGGGTGCTTTGAAGTCATTTGAACAATTGTGTGGTTCTCTAGTCACAACTTTATATTAAAAGTTTCAAGTTTTGCTACATTATCTTGCAGAGCATTCAACTTAGTACAAATGTTTCTGCTTTCATATTATTGTCTTTTAGGATGCGTGTAATTTAAAAAATTGAATTAGGTGTAGTATTTTATTTTTATGAAAGAATATTTTATTGCTTTAAGATCAGAATACTCAGTTTGAGAATTAAGTTGTTTCCAGCACTTTTCATTTAGAAGATGAATACTTAGAAAAGAAAACCCTCAAAAACATGGATTATTAATCTTGGTAATAAATTCTGATGGCTGAAAAAAAGAGGAAACAAACTAATGGGAAGTTTTCTAAATTATTTAAATTTTAGTGAACCTATGGAAAAACAAATTTAGAGGATGATTTTAAACCAATTTTGAAATAAATGTCAATAGAAGTATGCTGCAGAAGTCTTAAAATTGTTTTTTCGATTGACTCATTAATTCCACTTCTATAAATTTGTCCTATGGAAGTATTCAGCTGTACTTAAAGGTTTTTGTGCAAGAATATTTATAATAAAGTGGAAAACTCAAATGTACAGAAATAACAGGATTAGTTGAATAGGTTGTTAATAGTCATATATTAGTAAAGTATGTATTTAAAATAATACCTATTTTTAATGCAAAGTGTGTATTAAAAGAAAGTTTCATGACCTAGAAAATGCTCATAATATATCATTAACTAAAAGTATAGGCTATAGAATATTATATATTATATGATCCAAAATTTGTTGACCAACTAAAATGGCCTGAGTTTACAATATGTTTACAGTATCTTTATATTGCATTGTCAATCGTGATTACCACTAAATGATGCAATTTTATTTTATTTGTAGTGTTCTATTTTGTGACAGTTTGTACACTGAACATTATTTGAGAATGTGTAAAACAGTAAAAATGTACTGTATCATTATTAGAGTATATTTGAAAATTTTAAAGTTTTAAGATCTTTTAAAACGTTTCATACCTAAGGAAAATGTAAAGAAAACAAGTTACAAAAAGACTTAATACTTGGGGGGTTAATGGGAAATGAGGACACATTTGTAATACCTTAACCAATAAAGACATTTAAAAAAAAAAAAGACTTACTAAAGGGTACTATGTTAATTGTTTTTATTTAACAGTTTAGTCGTTTTAAGTTTTAAAAATATAATTGTAAAAGTTGCTTGATTAATTAACTGATGAGGAAGAATAAACTGCAACTTTGTGAATATGTCTTTATATTTTTGAGTTCAAGATTTAGTATTGGTAAAGCTTTTCGATTTTATGATATAGCATTATCTGAAAGTGTTGATTAAATCAGGCTTACTGATTTGAAAGGAATTCATAAAATTCAAACATGTTCATTTATAAGTGACATTAATAGTAAAAGCAAAGAATTTTAATCATAATCAGATGTATATTTGAGAAACTATAGATTGATATGTTACTTTTAAAGGGTTGAAACAAGTTCTGATTTTTTAATGTTTTTATTATGAAAGTTGTCTTGCCTCTATCATGCTTTTTTATACTAGTCAAAGCTTAAAATAAAATTTATCTTCCTTCTCTTTTTAAAATCAAGATTTCTCGTATGGAATATGTTCATTCAAAGAACTTGATATACAGAGATGTAAAACCTGAGAACTTCTTAATAGGACGACCAGGAAATAAAACCCAGCAAGTTATTCATATTATAGATTTTGGTTTGGCGAAGGAATATATTGATCCAGAGACAAAGAAACACATACCATACAGAGAGCACAAAAGCCTTACAGGAACAGCTAGATATATGAGCATAAATACACATTTAGGAAAAGGTATGTGTACCTTTTGTTTGAATTCAGTAACTATGCTAACGGTGTGAGTTTTAATATTTGTTATTATGGTTCAGTTTTTGCAGGTTACAGTTGCTTTTATTACAATTTTTATTTATCACATCTAGCTAGAGTTTACTTTTATTTATATTTAATAAAACATTTTTATTTATTTTATTTTTAAAAATACATTTTTGTTTATTTCAGAGAGGAAGGAGAGGGAGAAAGAGATAGAAATATCAGTGATGAGAGAGAATCATTGATCCGCTACCTCCTGCACACCCCACACTGGGTATCAAGTCTACAACCGGGGCTTGTGCCCCAACCAGAAATTGAACTGTGACCTCCTGGTTTATAGGTCGACGCTCAACCACTGAGCCACACTGGCCAGGCTTAATAAAACATTTTAAAAATAAGTTGTTTTAGAGTAAATGAATGACAGATATCCTTGCATTCACTATATCTTTTTTTAATATAATTTGAAATGTTCAACTTTGATATAGTGAGGGTGATGCATTTGAGTATTTCTGTTAAAAGGATATGAGAGAATACTTAATTCTAACTGAATTTAGTTTGTGCAGATATATTTGATTGAGAATATAGTACTTTGATACAATTAGCCAGGAAATAACAAATGCCTAATATATTTAATGCTAAGAGGACATACCTTAGCAGTACTATTTACTATACTAGCTATACGACTTTGGTTTCCTTATTTGTAAAAAGAATAAAATAATATCAACCTCACAGGATTTCTTACAGCTTTTATTTTTTTTCTAGTCCAGGACCACACATTATCATTTATTTGTCATATTTCTTTAGTTTCTTTTCATCTGGAGCAGTTCCTCCCCTCTCTTTATGGTTCATGACCTTAATATTTTGGTGAAGTATAGACTGTTTTGTAGAATGCTCTCCATTTACGTCAGTCTGATATTTCTTCATGATTATATTTTGGTATGCATTCTTAGCACAAATATCATAGAAGTGATATGTTCTCACTGTAAAATGTCAAGAGGTGCATGATGTCACTTGGTTCCAAGTATCTTGATCATTTGTTTAGGGTAGTGTCTGCTAATTTTCTCCACTTAACAGTTTCTCATTTTCCCTTTGTTATTAAAAAGTGTTTTGTAAGTAGATCTTTGAGATTTTGTATACATGTTGTTCCTCATCACATTTTTATCCACTAGATTTAGCATCCATTGATGATTTTCTAACTCCATCAATTATATAGTTAGTTGATATTCTGATGTAAGCAAAAGCTTTCTCTTCCACCATTTATTGATTTCTATCAGTATGGATTCATGGAATCGAACCAGCGACCTCTTGGTGCATGGGTCCAAGTTCAACCACTGAGCAACACTGGCTGGGCGAGGTTCTTTTTATAATATATTCTTTCCCATTGAATTACTTTTGTGACTTTCTAAAAACATTCAGTTTTAAGTTGTATTTACAATAGATTATTGTTAAGCTGTGGTTGGTTTTCATATCAGAGGAAGCCAAACTTAAATTTCTGCTTTTAGATTCTATCTTCTTAAGGGAGAATAGACAGGAACATATATTATCCATCATCACTGCTCAAATGTACCTACAATGTATGACCATAATTTGTACAGGACCTTATAAGTCATCTAATCCAACTTCCAATTCCTAGTGTAGCCCAAGTTTAACTGTTCTTCTCAGACTTATAAGCTCTATACTACATGTCTCTGCTTCTGCTCATTCAGAACAAAATAGCACTTGGCATCTTCCCTGACAGCTGGCCTGATAGTAGGCTCATGGTATTTTTCTTTACAGATGTCTGAAAATACCTGAAAAATGTAAATTTGCCCTTCTTTAAGAAAAGTAAGTTTTAAACACCTGAAATTACAAAGCACAAGTTGGGTTTAGGTAGTGCTTGCGGGGAGTGCCTTTCAGTAGCACACTTTCTCAATAGATTTAAAATATGATTGGATAGATACTCAATTTTCAAGACTGTGTCTTCTATTAAAACCCAGCACACCTATATTTAGTGTCTGTGAGAAATTTCCATTTCCATAACAGGCTGCTTTATAACAACCAACAGAGATTCATTACCATTTTATTGTGAGACATGAACTCACAACTTCCCAATGGCTCAGTGTTAGTTTTTTTTTTTTTTTAAATATATTTTATTGATTTTTTACAGAGAGGAAGGGAGAGAGATAGAGAGTTAGAAACATCGATGCGAGAGAAACATCGATCAGCTGCCTCCTGCACATCTCCCACTGGGGATGTGCCCGCAACCCAGGTACATGCCCTTGACCGGAATCGAACCCGGGACCCTTGAGTCCGCAGGCCGACGCTCTATCCACTGAGCCAAACCGGTTTCGGCCAGTGTTAGTTTTTTTAAAGATGA